CCCATGGACTTAGCCCAGCAAACCCAGACCTGCAGGCATCTACCTGAACAGAACAGGGGAACCTACTAGAACAGTGGAGGAGAAAATTCTGACACTATACGCCAGGCTGCCAGAGGCAGGTATAAGAGAGATCCGCGTCTTGACCAGTTAGCCACATCCACAGAACTGAGGACCCCAAGGAGGAGAAGGTACAAGGCTGCCTTGGGACATCCCCAACATGTGGCCAGCCCTCCCCCGCACATCCACCCAGCTCCCAGGCCTTACCTGTCTTGTTCCCGTGCGCATTTCTCACTATTCGAGTGGCCACTGGTTTTAGGGGCGCCAGGAATTCCAGGACATTTTTCTGCAAGGACAAGTTTTGCCCCGTATCAGTCCCCCTAAGAAACCATGCAACCAGATAAAGAGATAAGGAGCAAAGTGTTGGATCAGAAAAGATAACAAAGTGATCACAGTTTTTCTCCTTCCTTTAAGTCACACTCATCTCTCCTCCACCATAAAGAAAAACTGGGAAATAAAAACTGAAGAAGAAACGAATAATGTAATTATAAAATAGTAACATCAACAGCAGTGTTTTAAGGCATTACATCTGGTCTTTGTTCCTAGAGAGTTGTTTTTTTGTTTTTTGTTTTTTTTAAATACTTGGCGTTAAAGCTGGCTTTTCTTACTTCTCTTTAAAGCATGGATATTTGTCTATGTTAATCACAGTGACAAACCTAAAGTTCCATTGTAGGGAGGCCTCTGACCTTCTTAACTACTCCCTTCTCTGGACATGTGTGAGATTTAAACACATTTTTAAAAATATGTGAACATTCAGGGTGTGAAATTCTAACAAATACTAAAAAGTACAAATCAGGAAACCAAACTGGTTCCAAATTCCGAGGCCAGTTCACTCTTCCTGGCTCTTCTGCAAATCAAAAGCCGCAGATCCATTTCCCATCTGGGCACTGGGGGAAGCCCTTGAGGCCCCGCCCTGACGTGGCTTGTCCTATAAGGTGACAGAAGAACAGAAGGACACATCCGGGCGCTCCAGGTCAGTGGAAGAAGCCCAGTCAAGTTCTGAGCTTTCACATTACTGCATCCAAGTTTGCAATTACCAGATTCTTTCCAAACCGTCCCCTGGCCAGAGGAAAGCCAGCATGGTGGGTCACACACAGTTAGGTTCCTCTGGGGATGAAGCCATGTCCTGCTCCACACCTGGCCTTTTCTACTGGCTGTGGCACCTTGGGGGTCTTCCCTGTCATCATGTTCTTTTCTGTGATAGTCATCTTACACCATTTTCATGTGTCCCCGTGAATTAACCCAGGTTTAACCTGGCACTGGTGACATTTTGGGCTAGTGACTCTTTGTTGAGGGGGCTGTCCTGTGTGTGGCAGGGCTTACACAGCACACCTGGACTCTGTTCACTAGAGGCCAGCAGCCCTCCACAGATGTCACCATCAAGAGCACCTCTGACCACAGCCAGATGTTGTGCAGGGATAGACCACTCCCCTCCGAGAACCACGGACACACCACTTCCCCAGAAATGGAGCTTCAGGGTTGATGTGGGGTTCTGTTCTTATCAATGAATGCAAATCAACACGTTGAGTTATAAATAATAACAGGAAGGCTGCAAGAACGTTCCCGCATTTAGGCTCTGGTGTGCCGGGATTCACCTGGGGCAAAGCCCTGGCCAGGCACCAGCTCTGCAACGGCCTGGATGTCCGTAAAGTTGCTGGGCAGCTCCATGCAGCTCCATGCCAAATGGTGGCTCTGATGATGGAATGAGATGATGTAGGCCTGTGATCAGCAAGGGCAGGTGCAGGGAACACCCGTGCTCCTGGGATCACCAGTGACCATGAGGCAAGCTCCACTGGTCTGGGAGAACCTCCCAGGTAACAAGAGATGGTGTGGCCGTGGGGCCAGGAGTGTGCTGAGGATGAAGCCTGAACCAGACCTCTCCAGACCAAAGCCTCCAACGCACTCTCAGAGGTGACCCTGGTGAGGCCAGTCCTGCTGGGAGCCAGGAGTGATGACTCCCAGACAGTTAAGGACGCCCTGGTCACCTACCACCCTCCCCAAAGAAAGAGCCTGCCATTTGCTCACATCCTGGCTGCGTGGACTTCCACAGCAGTCCCTTAAGTCTATGGTGAAGGTCAAAAGGCTGTGACTCCAACTCCTGTCACCAAAGATGAACCATCAGCACCTGGTGACCCCACAGGCCACCACACCCACACCACACAGAGCGAGAGGTGAGGCCGTGTGTTGCCTCGGCTCTATGCTTCTCCATCTTGGCTTTTCCCTTCTCAGCAAAAGGACTGGGGACGTTTTATCATGTCAATGAATACCTGTGGGTGACCCTTGTGGGACCTCCTCCTCTAGGAAACTTTCCTGACCCCTCTCTGGACAGGGTGGGTCCTGCTCAGTTTTCCCAGGGTCCCTGACCCAATGACCGCCTGAACTCAGCACCTGCATCTGCCAGCGCTCCTGAGGACAGGGACCGGTGGCTCCTGAGTGCCTGCTGTCGGGCAGTGAAGGACACACACTTGTGGCTCAAGTGCCCTCCTGGCTGGCAGCACAGGTGCCACCGAGGCTCCAGAAG